TTTTCATACACAGACAGCGAGGACCTCACACCTCCGCCTGCTGGGCACTCGAAATGAGGGCCGTGCTGAACGGCATTCGAAGTTCAGTGCACAGCTGAGATGGACACAAGGTGAGGGGGACAGGGATGCCCCAGCAATCCTGGGAAGAGGAAGACACAGGCTGAACTAGAAAAAGGGTCGTTGGGTTACTCAGTAGTCACCTGAAGACCCTCTATCCACAAATACGGAACCAGAGCATTTCGGGTCATTTATCATGCCAGATAGGAAAGCCACTCCAGGGAGCCAGGGCTAAAAAGGAAAAATGAGCTCTGCTGATCTGACCCCCACTGAGGAGAGCACCCCCGGAAGTGAGTGGGTTCTCTATCTAGAAAGGAGAGGCAGGGCCGGGAGCCCAGGTGTTCCCATGCAGCTAGGAACACATCTGCCTGATGGTCACTTTGGGCAGGCTCTCTTCACCCTGGGAGACGACGGGGTTCAGCTCCCCCTCACAGATGGCTCCTCAGGCCTGGGAGCTCCCCTCGGATTGATCCCACGCTCACCAAGCGACTCTGGCTACAACTAAATTTCTCATGTGCCTGGCCCATGTGGAAGAAACACGTCAAAGTCTTTTTAAGTTTTCTGCATCGCTCAGTAATGCTTTCACTTATTCTTTTATTCTCAAAGCTCTTTAATGGAAGTTTCTAGAAGTAATTTTTTATAGAGGTAAGGCTAAAAAAATAGATGCATATGCCATTTATTATTTATTAACAAAACATAGTTTTTGAATGTCTACTGTGTACTAAGCAAAGTTCCAGAAAGCTAGGGTATTCAAATGAAATTACGGGACCTCAGACCTTAGAAGGCCACGGCTGAGGATCAGAGTAGGCTCCATGTAGGATCCTGCATGGGACCGAGCTGCACACACAGAGGAGCCTAACATGGGGTCCAAGAAGGCTGCTGAGACTTCCTGGGGTCACAGGACACTGATTGCAGACCAGGGTGGCTTATTTGAGGATTTCTGGAACATAAAAGATGAAGTAGGGGACAGCTGAGCAGATAGAAAAGATCCAAAATTGAGTTTGTTTGTTTTTTAAATGAAATATTGAGGTGTTTAAATATGGCAGGTAAGAAGCAGCCCTCTGGACCAAATGGGTGGGTTTTGTGTGCTTCTCTGTCCCTTGGCCAGGAGGGTGCAGAGCAGACCCGTGCTTAGAGAAGGAGCAAGGCAGAAATGAAACCCCCACAGGAAAGGGACCCAAATATCTGAAAGTCTAAGGCTGCAGGACTAGGCAGGGGTTGCACAAAGAGCTGAATATGAAAAGCAAGAGACAGAAAGCTTCGCTGCAATCACTGGTGGTCAGGAGCGGGAGGTATTCCTGTGGATTTGGTGCCTGCTGAGCAACCTTTTCCTGCTGTTCGATGGCTGTTTCCATTTGAGAAATTGGACATCAGCGATTTTAAAGCAAACTGTGAGCAGCTGTGTGTCCCCAACAGAAGGGATTGGTCCTGAGCTGCCAGGCCGTTTGCCTCTGTCCTCAGGTGACGGCACCCAGGAGGCTGTGAGTCCCTGGTTTCTGCTTGGCTGTGCAGCTCTGCCAGGCTGGGGAGTTGGAGGTGATGGGAACTAAGATTCCAACACTGGGCCTGCTGTCAGCCAGGACGGGGCTGGAACCTCAAATCCACCGACTGCTTCAACTCTCACTTCCAGAGTGATTTCTCTGTGCCCAACACAGAGACCCAAGTAAGTCCCTGCTGATGAGGATGGCGAATGGATGAGATGAGACACATCCAAACCCACGCACCCAGGCCTAGAGGACCAAGCTGCACTCTCCTCCTTTCTCTTTTATAATCAACACCTGTAATATTTTCAGCATTTTTAAATGCTGTAATGTCATCTGATTTTCTATTTCTTCTTTGACCCAAGAGTTACATTATGGAGCACTGTTAAACCCCCAAACAGAAAGGTGGTTTGATTTTGTTACTGGTTTTCTTGTTGTATCCCATTATCCTCAGAGGATGTTGCTTGTATTCCTTCTGTCTTATGCAACCCACATTATTTTTTTCCTGATCTAGTCCACGGCTAATTTTGTGTAGGCTCTGAGTGCAGTTGAAGAGTATTTTCTGTTACCAAAATTTGCAGTGGATCTAGCTCTGCCTTATTAATTATGGTGTTTGGACTTTGTGGATCTTATTTATCTTTCGCCTTTATTATCACGTTCCCCGTCTTGGCCTGAGAGGGTTACACTACACTATCTGCGGACGTGTCCATTCCTTCTTGTGCTTTCCGCACTTCCCACTGTCCGGCGCGGCTGTCTCACTGGGTACGCTGCTTTGCATCTGCCTTGCGCACTTCTGCCAGGGCCCGGGACTTTCACCTTTGAAAGAATCCCTTCGTGTTAAGTGTGTCTCTTCCCTTCAGTTGCATCAGCTTGTGTTCTGCAGCCCTCACATTTCTGACTGGTGGGCTATACTCTGCCCAGCATATGTTGGAATTTCAGACACTATTTCTTTCCTTTTTTCCCCCTTCTTTCTATCTCCACCCAAGGCAGGTCTCCCCTAGGTTCTACAGCTCCTTGCTCGCACCAGTTCTGGATCCACGTGGGCCTGGCGGCTGAGCTGGATCCGCACTTCCCACGCTGCCCTGCACTGCGGGTCTCACGCCCAGCAGGGCAGGGACTGCAGATCCTCGCTGACCATGGGCTTGAAGAGCACCGCATGTGCATGGAAGTTAAAGTCCCGTCCTCCTCCACTGGCTGGACACACGGGATGAAGCAGCCAGTATTTAGATCAAAGCCTGATGTTTCTCACAATATTCTTCAAAACGTAATTGGGGACTGAGAGACGGAGGGAGGGAGAGAGGAGGGGAAGGAAGAACAAACAGAATTAAGATGTGCGACGTGCATGCACCAAGTCCCCACCATGAATGCGGCCATTCTGTGCTGCGAACATGGACGAATATAGAGCTTTTAAAACTGTACAACTGGCTGACCCAGAAGTAATGTTACTGCGTGCAAGTCCACTGCTGGAGGAAACCTAGAAATCTGTCCCGACTTTCTTCTCGATGTGTTAATTGTTTCTATGACACCCAAGAAAATTTTCCATTCTGTCTGCATTTTTGGGAAATAGTTGGTTCCTGATGCTGTGGCTCATTCCCTGGGCAGGGGCCAAAACCCAGCTACCCCCATACAGCAACTGTATGACTCCCCACTTCTGAGAGCTTTGCCACAGTGCTTTATGGGAGCACAGGCAGAATCACAGAGGACTGCTAAGGTGACCAACCTGGGACACAAAGTCTGAGACCAGGCAGGCAGTGTGCAGGAGCAGGGAGGTGATGAACTGTGTCCTCGAGATGTAGGTCCCCTGGTCAAAGGGAAAACCTCTACTGGGATCCATACGTAGGAACGCAGCCTGTAACCTGTGACCCAGTAATGTTGCTAGTTCTTCCAATTTTTCTGGCAAAGTAGAAATCTGTCTTTATCATGGAAACTCTCCAATTATTTAAAATGGCAACTGATTCAAATTTCCCCAAAACACAAGCTAGACCATGAAAAGAAAGCATCCTTGGGGTGGGCATACTGCAGGCTACCACTATGCTGTTCTTGATCTAAAGGAATCTGTGTGAAGCCGAGCATAAGATAAATACTTAACAGTCTGTGAGCCCATCACATCCGAATCAAACTCTTCGCTATCAAATTCTTAGAAGACAGGGCTCCTTAGATGAGACTGGGGAGAGGCTGGGAGAGAAGAGACAGCATAACAAAGCCATCCGCTGCAGGCCCAGAAAATAGGCCTAAATCGAGGCAAGAGATGGGAGTGGGCTCCTGTAGGAGACCCTGGTTTGGCCTGCCATTCCTTCCTCTGTGCTGGGACCTGACTGACAGACCCACCAGCCAATCCCTGTGCAGATGCAGCTGATGTGGGCGGGCAGTGACACCCCCTCCTTACCCCTGCCTTTCCTTGGAGAGACCCCTGGGATGACAGGAAAGGATACATCTGAGCGCCCAAAGGACAGCTCTCCCCGCCTTCATTCCTTTGGCTTTTCGCCCTCAGCACTTGGAGCACAGCCCGATGCTCCCTCTCGGGGTGGGGTACCGCCGCCCCACACATGTTATAAATAAGGCCCAGAGGAGCTGCTCTTATTTTTAGCACTTCTCTGTGGACGCAAAGGTCACTCTGAGGCTCATGGGCAGCCTCACTCCTTTCCCTGTGTATCTTATTTTCATCCAGCATGCGTATTTTCTGTCTGGAGGGGTTAAAGTCAGATATTTTGGGCAAAATGGGACCCCAAACATTGACTGTCTCCTTGCTGGATCCCTTTAATCGCCACGGTTCAGGTGACATCTGTCCTGCAGCCTGCAGACTCTGGGCCCAGGGCTCCAGGCTGGGGCAAAGCCTCGCCTTTTAGTCCTTGAGCGCAGAGAGGTTTGCAGCAGGAAACAGCTTCGGGTCTTTCTCATTAACTCTGCTCTACCAGGCCTCAGGCAGGTTCCTCCTGACTGCCTGACCCGAGCAGTCAGTCTTCCTGAGGCTCCCATCAGAGGATTTCTCCGAGTCACCTAGGCCACACAGCTCTTCCCTCGCTGAGCCCTCAGCCCCACCTCAAGAGGCAGCTACAGTTCCCATCCTGCAGGCCACAAAACCGAGGTGTAGCAGTGGGTGGGAGAAACTCACCCCAAGTCACACTGCCTGGCAGCAGCAGGCCAGGAAAGGCATCAGGATCTGAGTTCCAGGCCGCCCACTTTCCAGGAGCAGGCCCTGCATGGGCACTCTTCATGTGGATCAAAGGAAAGCCAGAGGAGGACAGGGAGACTCGGCGGGAGCTCACACCCACACACACACACACACACACACACACACGCACGCACGCACGCACGCATACACACACTCGCTCTCTGCAACGTGCCCTTCCAAGCTACCCCTTGGGAACCATGCATCTTCCCCTCTTGAGCACAAACTTGGCCAAAGCCCCTGAGCCCCGAGGCTGGGGACGGACGCTGGGGGGACAGGTGGAGCGGCCTCACCTGTTCTCTGGATCGGCCAGGGCCATGCTTCGAGTGACATAGCACATTTTCAGCGGGATGCTCTTCTGGTCTCTGTGGAAGGAGAATGACTTGGAACTCTGAGGGTCCGAGGTGCCGGCCCCTAACCGAGGGGACTCCGGGGGCGGCGTCTCCCACCCGATCTCGGACACCGGGGAGCCTTTCTTCACGTAGGGCGTGGCTTCCCGCATGTACTTCACTGCGAGAGAAAAGATAAGACTGAATTAGCAGATGGGCCGGTTCCTGCAAAATAACCTCAGCTGGGCAAGGCTCAGTGGTGAACCTCTGGATTCCAAATAAGATCCCCAAGTTTTCCTTCTCACAACACAACGAACTTAGTATTTAAATCACACCCTGATGTACCTTAGAACTTGCTGTCACGATGTCTACACTTGGCAATGACTTTTGGCTTTTTATTTTTCTAACTGTGACACAGTCTGTTTTCTGAGCTAAGCTGCACGTGTGAAAGCATGACCTAGGCTAAAAAATGTATTATTTAATACAAAGGTGAGGGACTGGCCGGGCCCTGACTGCCCACGGAGTCCTGTTCAGAAGCAAGGGCACAGTTTTCCATTTCACAGTGCTCATGGAAGGACCCACACACACACTCACACTCACACACTGACACACAAAAATACACACACTGTGGCAAAAATTTAGAACAGCAAAGCCATCCGTCAGAAATAAAAACTAAAACATGACAGGTTAAATAAATTGTAATACAGCTCAGTTGTTACTAGAAACAATTGGAAAATCTTTTTTAGTGGGAACTACAAGTTTGGTGGTGCACTGTGAGATCTTTGTGTAAAATAATAAATTAATATACATTTACAGTGGCAATTATTTCTGGATATATGCACAAAAAACACTGGCGGAATGGAAATAAAACTCAAGTAAATGAAGAAATAGGTTCTTTACGATTTGTCTACCTTTTTGTAGGATTTTTGTGTTTAACCATATGCACATATTACATTTACAAAATTTAAAAGAACAAAAATAACAGAAAAACCAAATGTGAATGAAGCAGACAGAGATCTGGTCCCCTTTTTTTCCTGTTTTGTTTGTTTGTTTGGTTTTATTTGGTGTTTTTGAGACAGAATCTTGAACTTGCTATGGAGCAAAGGTTGCCCTTGAACTCGGGCTGATCCTCCTGCCTCTGCATACTGGATGCTGGGATCACAGAAGGTGCCCCATGACATCTAGCTGAAGTTCTGGTCTTCGATGTGTTTGTCTTGGTGTTAAAAAGTTATCTTTTTAATTTTAACTTTTTGCATTTCTCAATTCAAGCACTTGGTCCTTGGTCAGTTCTGCAGTTTCAGGCTGCAGCCAGAAGGTCTAGGACCTCCCCCTTCATCAACTACCTGGCCACGGTCCTCTGTACAGAGGCCACAGCCGAGTCCCGCTCTGTAAATGTCACTACAGATGCCAGTGGATCCGGGTAAGTGCAAACTAGAGGACACTTCCCTCCAGATCTCTGCTGACTCGGTCCACACACTGGCATCTCCACTGCCCATGACACGGAGCCAGGGTGATGCGGACGACGGGAAGGAACCACACTGCTAACATCATGAGGACTACATAGGGATTGAAGGTGTCCTCTCTGGACCCCTTTTCCTGTAACCTAGCTACCAGGCCTCAGCTGAAAACAACTCAGAGCTGCATCTCTCTTCCAAGGAACTGCTCTCAACAAAGGCCACCAGTCCTGGGGGGACCGGTCCCCAGAGAGAAGCTTTTCCCTAGGATCAAACACACTGAAAACACAGGGGCGGGGCACACAGCAGAACAAGCTGCATTTTACAAGGGATATACAGCATCTGGAAGAACTCATTAAAAGCAAAAGAATCCAGAAGCATCAGAATGGATCCAGAGTCCCACAGCTGAACCAGCAGCTAAGAGACACCCAGCAACAGGCAGAGAGACAGACGCCAGGGACTCAACTGGAGACCTCAAAAAGGCTGTGTCTGCCTTACAAGGCAAAGGAGAAGTCACTCTGAACCAGGACGTATTTTAAAAGAAGACTCCAGGATTTTAAAGAGCAGCTAGAAAACTGCATTGCCACGAACCTGTTAGCACAGGCTGTTTACAGAAGCAGAGAGATTATTTGTGAAATTCGTATGTTAGGGAATCGCATTATTTCTAGGCACTTTGTTTACAGAGGAACACAGACCCATCTAAGAACAAATGCAGAAAATCAAGGAGGACAGACTTAAATTGTGGAAAGGAAGAATGATCAGAACTCTTTTAAAGATACTAAAATTTCTCCTCTTTAAAACTGTTTTTGTAGAAGCTAGAGCGCTGCTTTTTAATTGTAGAATTATACTTATTGATACACAGGAAGTCCAAGCATCAGTGGAGGCAGATTGAAGACTTTATTTATTGTGTTACTACTCCCCCTGGGCTGGAGACCAGGATGAATCTTTGGGATGGTGAATCAGGGCTGCTTCATGGAATGAAAGGCATCTGAATCTGATCATAAAGCGTAGCCAGGACTTCAAAGAGTACAGATAAATATCTTTCTTTCGTATGGAGCAAGAGTGTGGTTTAACTATAGATCACATTCTTTCATGAAATCTGTCTCTGCCACTTAGGTGGAGGATGAAAAATGGCAATCCTTCTTTTATGTAAAGTACTCTGGTTTATGATTTTTACTGCAATTTCATTGGAAAGGAAAATTGGACCCCCATTTAGAAGGGGGATAAAGAAACATTTATCATACATTTCCTTATGAGCTAAATATTGAACCAGTCTTTCAAGTGACTTCCTACATTAAAGCTGAGAAACTACTATTTAAGGCTTTGTGTTTAATAAGGAAAATAAGGTCTACAGAAGAAATAGCTCAGGTGTCTTTTTTTATTGGGTATCTGTGTGTTCACAAGCAATGCAGACTAGGAAGGCTCCCTTTCCCTTTCAGACTACATAGAAAGAAACGCTTTGCAGGACTGACTGCTCCAACTCTGGTAAATGCTGTGGCTTTATCTGGGTTCCTCCTTGCCGGTCAGGATTGTCACATAGAGTGGAATCGCACTGCTAGGGTGTGGTGGGGCTGGTGTCCGAGACACCAGAGATCGCACTCCTCCACGAAATCTGCCTGTGCCACTTAGAACGGCAAGCTAACGTGTCTGGGCTTCACTTTATTGGCAGAAGTGACGTTCGTGGTGGTTGGTGAGCGAGAGTGGGAAAAATCAAAGACAAGCTTCACACGGGGCTTCTGGGAAGTCAGCTGGGTGGTGCTTAAGGGAAAGGACACTAGACATAGATCTGCTGTTCCCCGGGCCACTTACTGCCAGATAAAACCTAAGCAGCATCCTTGAGTATTAGGTTAGGTGGAAAGAATCTCAAAACTCTCTGGTCTGGGTGCAGAAGCACAGGAGGGGGACAGAGGAGACTCACACTGGAAGCACCCGTCTGTGTGGCAGAGCCCCACAGCAACACCTCGAGGAAAGGGCACTGCAGTAGGAATAAGAGTCGACCTACAGAAACCCTTTCAGTCGAACAGTGGGGAAAAAAGACAGTGAAAATTTACAAGTTAGAGGTGATAACTTAAAAGTTAATTCCTTCAGCCAAAATTCGTCAGTTGATTTGAATGTGAAATGAGTCCTGATTTAAAGAATTTAAGCCTAGATAACGAGAAGTAAGTAGATGACATGATCGGCTGTATTAAGGACCCAGCCTGGTTTAAAGAGGTCCTAAAAGTCCTCACCTGTGTCCAGGAGCCTAACAAAATCAAAGGCAAATCCTTTCTGGAGAAAGGCAATTTCTTTCCAGGAGACAATTCCTATGAATCATTCTACAAGGCAATGAACAGGAATAAAGTAAAAAAAAAAAAGTGAAAACAGGGAAATAAGGGGCCATGAGCGAGAGCTGGCATAAAAACCCACAGCAAAGACTGTCGCACTCCTGCTAGCTAAAGGAACAAGCGCTTACAGAACCAGCAAGAGCCTGAGAGAGCCCGCAGAGATTATTTTTAAAAATGACCCAGGAGATTGGGAAAAGGACAAAACAGAATGTCTGGTAACGGTAATAACAATAACAGAATTAAAACGTCAATAATATCTCAGAAACAGTAATAAGCTGTAGATAAAATGAAATTATATATAAAGTAGCACAAAGATGCAAAACGATGGGAAATACAAAATAGAGACTGAGAGATCTGAAAGATGAAACAGGAAGGCGTAAGATACGAAGGGTGATGAAAAACGGTGGATATTTGTATTTTTTAAAAAATTCTTTCCTCTGGCCAGCCCTGCGGCCATGCAGCTGGGAACTGGTAAAGGGGACCGTGACTCTGGAGGGACAGCTCCAGCTTGGGGCAGCCAGGGCAGATCTAGATGGCGGGGGTAACTCAGTGTTTGACACTAGGACGCATCCTTAATTATTTATTTTAGAGTCTGATGAACTGGATTTTATGACAAATAAACATAAGAGTACGTGTAGAGCCGTCGGTTAAAAACACAAGAACCATGTTCCATGCACTTTTCTAAGTGTTTCCTGTGTGCTGACCCATTTGAGCCTCACGACAGCCTAGGAAACAGCGAGAGTTGGATCAGTCAGCTTCTCACTGCTGGAATGAAGGCGGGACATGCACCACCGAAAGGAAGAGGGGCTTATTTGGGCTCTCGGTCTCCGAGGTCTCGGTCCATGGCTGCAGAGCAGAGCATCGTGGCGGGAGGGCATGGTGGATGGAGCTACTCGACTAATGGACTGGAGGAAGCAGAGGGCAGAACAAGAGCCGGGGAGGAGGAGGACAGGGACCAGGTACAGTCTCCAAGGTCACAAGCCGCGGACCACACAGACGCCAGGAAGTAAGTTTCACTAATCGTCCAAGTATCTGTCAAGCCGGTCAAGTTGACAACCAACATGAGCCATCGTGATACCATCACGGTCCCTATTCTACCTAACGCCGTGGGGAGAGAGGCTGAGTCACACGTGTAAGTCTGGCTAGGCGGTGACACGATCAGGCGGCAAACGCAGGAATACCGGCTTCCAAGTCTGTCCTTTTAACCATGAAGTAACACTGTCTTTCACAATTCTGTTTTCTAAGTATGTGTGTGTGTGTGTGTGTGTGTGTGTGTGTGTTTAAGCCAGTGTTTTTCTGTGCTGGGAGAAAACATTCAATTAAGAGGCGGTTGCCTGCAACATAAGAGAGTTTGATTTTGTAAGCCTGAACTATTAAACCGTGGCATTTCAATAAACGCCTTT